TGGGGACATCTTGATGGAAAATCGTGTTTTGGTGTAGATCAAACTCCTCTTAAATTCGAAGGCCATTGGAGATATATCCATTGAGGTTAACCCCCATGCAACTTTGAATTCCTCACGAGGAGTATTGATGAGAGGGGTTTGAAGAACATCCCCGGGTCGGAAATTCTCGCTGGTTTATCCAGCCAAGGAGTTTCTACAGTGCTATGTATCTCCACTTGTAAAGACGGAATTATGCTCCTTACAAATTGTCTCATTTTGATGTTTACATCACCATGTCCACCTTCCGCTGTCAAGGCAGGTTATTTGAACTGTAAGGTATGGCCATATGTTCCCAACCCTCTCAGATGTTTCGGGTGTCAATAGTTAGGTCATTCGAAGACATCTTGTCGTGGTTCTGTGACATGTGCTCGTTGTGGTGGCAAGGACCACGATGCCTACGAGTGAAAACTGGACACTCACTGTGTTAATTGCTGTGGTTCCCACCCCTCTTACTATAGATCTTGCCCTAAGTGGGTGGAGGAAAAAGGATGTACAGTGTTTAAAGACTGTTAACAACATTTCTTACCCCGAGGCTCGGAAGTTATTGTCCCCTACTCCATCTCGTACAGTCATTTCCATACCTCCATCAAAGTCTTTTTCACATTATGTGAAGAGTCTTTTGACCTCAATGGACGATCGAGTTGACAAGTCCACATCTACTCTTGTCTCTGTTCCCACCATTCCTTCCAGTAACTGCCCGGATCCACCTCCTATGGTCTCGGCTTCCAGTGTCTGCTCAGGTCCATCATCTTTGGCCCCAAGATGCAGAACTGTCATTCGTTCACGCCCTCAGTCGCTGGAATCTAAGTCTGATGACAGAGACCTGCCCACTCGACCAAGGGCAGGATTTATGGAGGTCAATAGACCTTCTTCTAGTAAAAATAAACGGCATGGTCATAAACAAAAGGGTTCTCCACCCAGTTCTCCTCCACCTACGTCCAGGATTTTCGTTCTAATCTCGATGACATTAAAGCCTTGATCGATTCTTATCATCCCATGTGTCTTTCCTTACAGGAAACATTCCTGAAACCTGCCAATACAGCTACGTTTCAGCAGTTCTCTTTATAACAGAATGACAGGTTGTGTAATGGACGAGTGCATGAAGGGGTGGCACTGCTTGTCGAACAGCACGTACCCACTTTGTCTGTGTCACTTGATACACCCTTGGAGGCCTTAGCTATCTGTGTTTCCTTGGGTTGTAACATCACTGTTTGTTTTCTCTACATGTCTCCTAAAGAGACTTGTGATCAATCAGACAATGATGCTCTCAATGAACAGTTACCACTTCCATTTTTACTCCTGCAAGACTTTAATGAATAAATCTCCTCTGGAGTGGTGCTGATATTGATGGAAGGGGTCGTTTCATTGAGCTTATTCTCTCGGATCATAACCTTTCTCTCTTCAATACTGGTTCATATACTTATTTTCATGCCCCTAGTCAGTCCTTTACTGCCATTGATCTATCTTCACTTTTCTCCAGCTTTTCTTGAATGGTTGATGGGGTCTCACAGGGCAGTGATCATTTTCCTATCGTTTTGAGGGAGATTGGCCGAGGTCGATGCCACCCGACCCACGTGTCATGGTGGAAGTTGGACCAGGATAACTGGTCCTCTTTCACTGCTCTCTCAGGAACTCGATCCTGCCGTCATCTGTTTGCCATCAATAGATGACTGTGTGGTAACAGTGATTGACTGTATCGTCCAGACAGCTGCTCACTCTATTCCTAAGGCATCGACACGTTTTCCATGTTATCCTTATCCATAGTGGAGTCCTGTCTGCCAGGAGGTACAGACAGTTCAAAAACGGGTCTGGAATACTTTTTGCAGGTATCCCACTTTTATGAACCGGATTGCTTTCCAGCGGGCCTGTGCCCTTGTTTGGCAGGTCAGAATCAAAGCCAAAAGGAATTTTGGATTAAGTTTACCACTAGCATCTCTTCTACTACCAGTTCAAAAGTCATATGGGACAAGATTCCGAAGGTCAATGGGCAGTACGCCTCCCATCGCCTTTCCATCTTGTTCTCCAATGGCCAGAAAGTTGCTGATGTACAGAGCATCACAGATAATCTCGGTGAGTGCTTTTCTCGTGCATCCAGCACTTCTGTTTCTTGCCCCACCCTCTTGGTCATCAAGTCTCGGGCAGAGCAATCGCCTTTTTTGAGGTGATCGTCTCTATGACTATAATGGTGGAACTCAAACTTTCTCTTCATCAGTCTGTCAGTACATCAGTTGGACCTGATAAGTTCACTATGAGATGCTGTGCCATCTCTCTCCTGCCTCTTTTGCCATTCTTCTGGTTGTTTTTAACTGGATCTGTCAGAAGAATGTTTTTACTGATGCTTGGTGCCAAGCTATTGTCCTCCCTTTTTATAAACCTGAGAATGGATCCCAAGATTCCTTCTAATTATCATCCAAATGCTTTGACTTGCTGTCTCTGTAAGGTCTTGGAGAAGGTGGTTAATGCTTGTCTTGTGTGGTTTCTCGAATCAAACAACCTCCTCTCGCCCACCCAGTGTGTGTTCCTTCGACAGTGCTCCACTGTGGACCACCTGATTCGACTTGAAACGTCGATCAGGGAAGCCTCCCTCAAAAGGGGCATCTTTTTTCCTTGTTCATTGACCTTGAGAGGGCTTATGACATTACATGGAGGTACAGCATTTTGCAGGACCTCCAATCATATGGGTCGCGTGGCCATTTACCCATTTTTATTCTGGACAGGCAATTCCAAGTCCGTGTTGGTTCGACTCTTTCCCGTTTTTTTTCCACAGGAACTTGGAGTCCCTCAGGGCTGTGTCTTGAGTGTCACACTTTTTAATATCAAAATTAATGCTATCACTACACAACTCCCTCCAACTGTTACAAATGGGCTCTATATCGACAACTTTCGCATCTTATTTCGGTTGTCGAACATGATGTTTATTGAGCAGCAGCTTCAGACTGCCCTCAATCACTCGTTGAAGTGGACTACAGCCAATGGTTTTACATTTTCTTTTTACAAAACCATTTGAATGCATTTTTCCATCAACGGGGTCTACACCCCAATCCAGAGCTCCAACTCAGTGATGTTCTTCTTCTTTCCGTGGTCCCTGAGGCAAAGTTCTTGGGCTTTGACCATAAACTTACTTTCATTCCACATGTCAAGCAGCTACATGTCAAGTGTACGAGGCAATGAACATCCTCCGTGTCCTCTCTTCCACCTCTTGGGGAGCAGATCGATGTTCTATGCTCAAGATCTATCAAACCCTGATTCGATCCAAATTGGACTATCGGTCTTTGGTGTATGGTTCTACCAGAACCTCGGCCTTGAACATGCTGGACCCCATTCACCATCTGGGACTTCAACTCTGCTCAAGGGCTTTCCGCACTTCTCCACTCCAGAGTTTGTTCAATGAGTCCCACAAACTTCCTCTTCACCTCCATCGTTTGCAACTTTCTCTACAGTGTGTTTCCAAGCTTCCATCCTTATCACAGCATCCCACCTGGGATTGTATCTTTCTTCCTCTGTGGGCCATGCTCTTTCAGAACAGATGGTCCGCAATTCCTTCCTTTGGCCTTCGTATCCAGACACAACTGGCTGAATTGGGTCTGGCATTGGATGACGTTGCTGTCTCCAATGATCAGCCCATTCCACCATGGCTTATTACCATCCCCAACTGTGACCTTTCCTTGAGTCATCCGAGGAAAGCCGATACTTCCGATTGGAAGTACCATCTTCTCTTTGCTGAACATTATTCGAACCATCCTTTTATTCCCATTTACACGGATCATTCGAAGTCAGTGACTCTGTAAGCTCGGTAGTTGCTCACAGGATCCCCTCTACAGTTTATGTGTTCACTGCCGAGTTGTATGCCCTTCTTCTTACCCTGGATCATGTAGAAGCTATGCATTACAGCAATTGTTCTATTTACACTGTTTCTCTTAGCTTTCTACTGGCCCTGGAATCGCTTAAGGTTAGTTCACACCCTGTTCTCGTCAATATTCAACAACGACTGGCCTATTTTTCTCTATCTTCTGTTTATACCCAGTTTTTCTGGATACCTGGTCACATCGGTATTCGCGGGAACGAACTCGTTGACACCGCAGCTAAGTCTGTCTCCTCGGACGCCGTCACGGCCGTACCTGTCCCATTCATGGACTACGGTCTTGTATTCAAGGCGCGGCTTTCCGCCAGTTGGCAGTCGACTTGGGGTGAGCAACGTCATAACAAGCTCTTCCAGATCAAACCTTCAGTTGTTCATTGGCCGTCTTGCTTCCGTGACCGAGCCTTGGTCAAAGTTTTTTAACTCAACCTTTTCTTTTATCTGGTATTGACCCACCAATGTGTAGCCTTTGTGACACTCAAGTCACAATAGCCCATATTTTACTATTGTGCCATCGTTACGACCGTGAGCGGCGAAACCATTTGAGACATATCTTTTCTACGGGTTTATCCCTGACGTTGAATGATGTCATTGGCGATGGTGACGCTGTCCAACTTGATTGTATTTTTAATGTGTTAAGAACAATTGGCCTTTTTAATTGTATCTAAATCTTTTACGTGAATTTTGGACGTATTTTAGTTTTAACTGAATTTATTTTTTACATTTTACAACAATTTTACTCTCACTGTTTTTACCGGTTGTTTGGGGCAGATAGCCTAGTTTCTTTTCACCAAAAAAACGCCAAACAAACAACCGTATTTTCCCTAGTTATTCGTTTGAATTTATATTTCATAATTTGAATACATATTCGTCCATTTTAAACTGCTCTTCACTATATTTTGGTAATATTTTATCTGATATTGCGAAACTTTTATTATTATTATCTCTCACATCATATTTATTTTACAAAGTTTATACAAGTACAATTCCTTAAAAAGTTTTATTTTCAAGTAATAGTTCGAACTTAACAGAAGTAATATAAGTAATTTGACGTTCTTAACGTGTATAGAAACTTCACACCAAGAACATTTGTTATTAACAGATTGGAGCATGGACAGCAGGATCCCTAGAGATCAAGGATATCGTGTGGCCTGGAGATTCTCCGGTTCCGCCCAAAGGTGTACCGGAAAAGTTCAACTTAAAGATAACATTCATGGAGGAGCCGCCGTACGTAAACCTCGTTACACCGGACAATGAGACAGGGGAGTGCAAGACAGATAGAGCCGTACCTTGTCGCGTGGCACCTGAGTCTGAACTTGCCGGGTAATTATTTTTCTTTATGTAAATCTGAATATGTTCTGCATAACTTATTCCTTGCATATTTTTACCTTACTTAGTTACTTTACTGTTTTATGTATCAATCCCTGTACTACAAGCATTTTCACGCACCTTTAGCTTTAGCTTTCAAACACATTATAGCTTTAAGTTTCTACAATAAGGAAATTATTCCTCTGCCTTTACTTTAAATTTTTACTCCCTATGATTGATTACAATCTATATGCTATGTAGTTTGCTCTGTTTATAGCATTTAACCTTTTTATATACTTTACTACAATGTTTTCATTTTCCAACTTTATCATAAGTTGTTTACTCCACAGCTTCAAACTGTAAACTCTAGATCGCATTTTCTTACGATCTGTTTGTTTGTTGTTGTTTTTGAATTATGCACAAAGCCACACAACGGCTATCTGTGCTCTACCCACCACGAGTATCGAAACCCGATTTCTAGCGTTGTAAGTCCGCAGACATACCGCTGTGCCACTGGGGGCCTTACGTTCTGTAACTAGATCTCTGTATACCATATAAGACACTCAACAATCTCAAGTTCATAATGTGTTTTCTACTCAGTTAGTTTCAGTCTCTCCGTAAAATGTATTTCACTGTTTTACACTTCACCTTATACGTCACGTACTTTGATTACTCCACTGTAATGGATATCTACTCACATCCTTTCTTCAGATATATACAAACGCCAATCTATTGCTCGATTCACCACTTGTCTCTGAGTTAGACCAGTTTCATATTATTCAAATCCTATATAAATATCGGTTCAGTGTGGTAAGTAAAGGAAAACTCAAAACACCATACTTGATTATCTTAGCTTTTAAATTCCACATCATTTAGGATACACACATATTTCACTATGTATCTCATTTCTAACGACCTTGCCATCATAGGCAGTTCAAACTCTTATGGTTTTCGGTTGAATTCCCCTACACATTGACATCCGTTATTGTACCTTTTAAACACGGTTTACCCTAGCATTTTAACAGTAGGCTTTATTTACACATAGATTACTTCACTCTTCTAAGTTTCACTGTCCGTACCGTCTAGTCTACTCTGCTGGCTAAGGTTTCAATCTTTACACTGTTTACTCGAAATTGTTGTCTTTGGCCACATAACCTAATCCACTGTTTATACCTTATCCCTTCTACTTTATTACTAAAGCTTCCAATTTGTTCTTCATGATGTTCATTTCAATTTTCCTCGCTTTAAATTTCTACTTCACAATCTCTATTCATGACAATTATTCTAGTATTTGCTTTTTCGCGTTGTATTACATATAGCTTTTTTTCTTCTTTTATAGGTCTTCTATCTCTACACCATAATGTTATTCAAGTCCTTTCAAAGTTACTGTATTGTCCTAGCTTTTATCATCTTGATTTGTTTTTCAGAAAGCAGACATTTGCGTCACCACTCTGACTTTCATTTTATATGTTTTAACTTTCAACTTCAAATGCGAACACTAAAAACATTTTACAAACTGCTCTCTTATTCATCCTACAACCAACACATTCGTCCTTTATTTTCAATCACATTTGATTTATCCCTTCAATTTCCCGTATTATGCTTTATTATACGAATTATTCCAGCTTACTCCTTTATTCCCACACACATATTACCTCATAATTCATTCTTAATTCAACTGACTGAACCCATTCATTCTAAATGAATTAACACTATTTATTTATATATCCTCACTCTTCACATTTCCAGTGTTTTTCCAAATATGCTACTCTTCCTTAACTAAGCTATTAAAAGTGAAATTATGGTTATCAAACTGAAGAAAATTATATCCCTTCATCTTTATGCTAAGGCCTATGCTTGAAATAAAACAGATATATAACTACATACTATATGAAAATAATACTCGATATTTATCTTATTGTTTCGGTCTGATAAACATATTCAGTATCTAAATAACACATACGACGGTAGGGTTCTGTATTTTGGAGAGTAAGAAAATAGCTATTCAGCTTCTAACGCAATTATAAAAAAAAAGAACAAACTCGCCAATGCTTTGAAGTTTTTATACTTTTTATGCATCGTGTTTGTGCAATGGATTCCGTTGTGTTGGAACCATTCGTAACAGCCTACTTCGTTTCTCGTGCATTCACGTGTGATTTAAGTAGTTAGCACGTTCTTTTATTTAAGCTGACAAATTCAGATCGATACCGTCAGTCACTTCGGAGGATTTTGTGACATTATGTGTACAGTCCATGAAGCAGCTTCTTACATATATATATATATTTATTCGTTTTTGACATATTAAAGTGTATTCTGAAAATCATCTTTTCATCTGTTATGTCTCTCAGTATTTTTTTTCTATTAGTATCTAAATAATTTATATTTTGCTTTTTGAAATTACAGTCTAATACTGCAACATACTGAACTTAGTAACTATTGACAACTGCTTATAAGTTTATTTTTTCACAGTTCACAATTACAATGTAAACTAGATTTGCTTTGAAATTTTATTTTTTAACAGCTTTGATTTATAATATTGGATTTTTCAATCTATTGTGTTCAAAAATTTACAAATAATTCATTCAGAGAAGTTCATATAACGAAAAATAAATCATGCGGTGGGGGTACTGTAATATAAATTTTAATTTCAGGGTCAATCTTACTCTGGCCATGCGGAACCCGAAATACTACATGTGTTGCTCTGGATTTTGTGTTGATCTTCTCCATAAGTTTGCTGTTGACTTGGGATTTACTTATGATCTTTATCGTGTAGAAGATGGGATTTGGGGAGTTTTGAATGTAAGTTAGCTTTACTTTAGTTGGATGTGAAGTTTAGAAGAAAGACAAAATTGAGGAATTAGTTTTAATTACAAATATTTATTGGGATTTAATTGTGGAAGGCCAACATCTAGGAAGCTGAATATAACTCTTCAACGGAGCAGGTAATTTTTGAAGTTAATGAATCTGTACCATGATTAGATCTAAAAAGTGCATTTTTAGATAACTTATTTGACATGAAAGAAAGTTAATCTGAAAAAAAAAACATTATAACACATTAGTTACTTAGATGTGTAAAGCTGTATTGTGTATTTTTGTGATGTGAAATTCTTTAAAAACATTTTAAAAAATACGGTTTGTAATAAATTTAGTCATGACAAAGTATAAAATTTCTTGAATTAAGTTTTGACTTTGAAATGAGAAAAATTTATTTTTTGTATATAGAGAAATTTTCATTTTTACTTTGAAAATATTTAAAATATTTACCCATAATGGATATCAAAAATATCTCTGATTCAAATTTAAAGTTTAATTAAGGATTTTAAACAAATGTCACATGACTCTCCATTTCCTTCTTTCAATTCACAGTAAATTACAGCTATATTCTATGTTGAGAAGAAACATAACCAATATGTCACAACGTGATCGAAACGGCTAATTAGCGCCTGTACTGAACTGTCAACTTAACAACAGGAGCATATCAGGGTTTTATACAGAATCGTTCCAAGAAAACTACTTAAAGAAAATATAGTTTTTTCTTGTATTTTCCCATTTCAACTCTCAGAAAGAAACACGGAATATTTCTGCATACATTACATGGGATATCTAATGAAATTTCTTCTTAAAGGGACTTTTTACAACCAATAATATTCCAGCTAATTAACAAGTATCAAGGGCCAACTGGTAAAATTAAAACAAAAAACAGGCGAATTCCTATTCTTCTCACAATAAACTTACGTAGATACGATTATTTCAGATAATGGTACATGTTTAAGGATAACGACAATTAAAGTTGGGGGAGATACAAGTGTCAAACAAACATCTATTAATGTTACGCTTTGCAACTGCTCTTATGTGCCATCTAAGCATGGAAAGAATTTGACATTGACTTGGATATGACACACATTTCATGAAAACACCTTAACGTATTTATTAGCAATCCGTTGTAAAGTATGTAAATACATATGTCATGAATAATTGAGATCAACACCGTACTTGTGCTGAGATGTTTTGCATCTATTTTTCTGTCTATTTGTTGCATACGACAAAATTTCCACTAAACTACAATCAAAACAGAAAAGGAAGTGTTTGCTCTTGCTTCTTTTATTATATTCCTTTCACTACCATGGGCACTCTGCACTTTTCAGCTACATTAGATATTTGTAATATGCAAGACATATTTTATGCTTTTAAACAAAAGCAAAGTTTTTTCTCCACGATATTTAGAATGGAACGTGGAACGGATTAGTGGCAGAAATCTTAGAAGGACGAGCAGATGTTGTTGTGACGAGTTTTAAGATAAACTCTGAACGCCAGACAGTTCTTGACTTCACCGTTCCATTTCTGGAGACTGGAATAACTATCATTGTGGCTAAACATACTGGAATTATTTCACCTAAAGCATTTCTTGGTGAGTTTTATTTACGTAGATGTACATATACATACACACTTCTATATATATGTATATATATATTATTACTATTGTACACATGTTGTATATTATATTCTTTTTATACCGAAAAGCAGAAAAAGTAAGTTTCCAAATAACTCTGCCGCTTTAAAAGCTGTTATCCAAAAAACAGAATAATGTTACTAACAGTCTTATTTTCTATATTTTTACGTTTCTGAATATAAGCTCTAACGTCATGAAGTTCATAAATGTACGAATGTAACATGCTTTTCTATTGTTTTAGAACTGCACTACAGTGCGATGCCTTTTAAGTAATTTAATGCATATAACAGAATTGAATACATTCTCTAGAATTAAAAATAATAAAGAAAGCTCTATAACTTTTGTGGACATACATAACTTGGTAATTAAAGTATTCCTTAAGGAAGCCTTATAGTCAATACTTTAGGAGAAATTAATTTTGTTGGAGTCAGGTAATGTATCATTTTTATTTACCGAAAATATAATATTTTATCCTTGCAAACGAATTCATTTATTTCCTTGGCCTTATCAGAAATGATCCGTCAAAAGTGAATGATACGTAACATTCCTAACTCAGAACGTGCTGTATCAAACTTCTTCAAACAATCAATCCAATAAAAAATGTCCTATCTATCGTTTTCAAGGATCATAAGCTTTGACATTTTCACTGCAAAGTATCATCTTGAGCTTTGTGACAATATTTCTTTTTTTTGTCCAATAATATTTCAACTTTCACTAAAATTACCTTTTTTATTGTAATATCAGAAACGTAAATTGCACTTATATGTCTTTCCTCGAAGATGTTCTGACTCATTTGATATTTCTTTAAATTTTCAGAACCGTTTGACACTCTCTCCTGGTTACTTATCCTATTGGTTAGCATTCAGGTTGCGGCCTTCGCCATCTTCCTTTTCGAGTGGCTAAGTCCTTTCGGGTACGATATGAAAATGTCGCCTCCGAGAGGTAAGGTGTCATTTTAAAGAATTATATTTTTGAATTTCTACAACTACGCAAAATATTGAGAAAAAATTAAATTATCCACAAATAAGAATTAAATACAAAAATATTTGGAAGAGCTTTTGTTTGTTTGTTTTTGAATTTCGCGCAAAGCTACACGAGAGCTATCTGCGCTAGCGTCCCTAATTTAGCAGTGTAAGACTAGAGAGAAGGCAGCTAGTCATCACCACCCACTGCCAACTCTTGGACTACTCTTTTACCAACAAATAGTGGGATTGACCGTCACATTATAACGCCCCCACGGCTGAAAGGGCGAGCATGTTAGATGGGACGAGATTGCGAGTCGAGCGCCTTATCCACCTGGCCATGCCGGGCCTTTGGAAGAGCTCCGAAAGATTTTCTGCAGCTATTGCACAGTTAGCAGATAAAGCTTGGAAAGCATACAATACAACATTTTAGTTTTGAAAACATATTATTTTTAAATCAAATCTAAATTCGTTACGAGAATGAAACAAGTATAGTAACAAAGTATAAATTTGAGAGTAAAACCAACTTTGGAGAAAAAGAAAAAAATCTGAAACGAATAAGTGAAATGACGCTTCTTTCGACTTTCATTAAATATTTCTTTCCTTTGAACAAACAATTTTGACAGGAAAGTATTACTTTTATTATTTTGAAAACGCAATTTATGGTTATGTTACACTATATTCCTCTTTTTGTATTGCTCGCAGAAAACAAAAGGGATATTTTTTGCTGACCTATATCTCACTGCAACATATGGTCAAAATATATTTTTCAACAATTCAAATGCTTAAGTTATAAGAACGTGCTGAACTAGTTTCAGAATTTAACTGCATTGAAAGCCACTATGTTTATAGATAAAAAATACATTAACAAAATAAATAAAATAAAATACTTCTTGGAAATTTCAACAATTATTTCACGAAATAGTGTAATGTTGAATAAGATCTTTGATCTTTCCTATTCAAGATTTCTCACGAATATACTGATTCTAAATCTGACAATGGTTGGAGAAATATTACATCCAACATATAATTGTCTCTTTTGCAGGTTAGAGGATGAAAATTAGTATAATATTTCTTAATAAAACATTGGAATTATTTTGAGACACGACGTGCAGTAAAATGCCGAAGCCCTTTAACGTTGTAAACGAAGAAGACCAAAATAAGTGCTGTGTTTTAACGCATGCGCCTAATATGCTTCATTATGCATTTAAAACTGCAAAGAAGGATTATTCACATGCTTTGCACTGCCTCCGGAGATTGTGTACGACTGTAAGCAGATTACAAATTTAAAATATAGGCTCTCATAAGTGGACTGATAGTCCTGAAAAAATATGTAGTACACAAAATATACGTAATGGATATGGAAGGTGCATGTAGTTACTGCATACCTATTCAAAAATAGATACTGAGAATGTTACTCATATTCAACCATTGAAAAAGTTTGATTTGGTTTTTCGTCTGAGGAAGAAAAATACATGACGCCCAAATGTACTGAAACCAGCATGAAGTTAAAAAACAGGTATAGAAAGAAAGAAAGAAGACAAAAAGAATAAATATGTATTAAGCTCAGAAAATCATTAGAACCAATTTATTAGTTTTTGTTATAAAAGAGACTTACACTTTGAAAATAAATGCAGTGCTCTTGGTTCAAAATTAAGTCTCGAAATATATTGGAGAGGAAATAAGTTACTGTTGGAAGGTTTGGGAGATAAAAAAGACATTGGAATAACGTTGTTATGCTGTGTAACGGCAATAAAAATGGGTGCTTTTTGTTACTATTTTTACTCAACGGAATTGAATAGACTACAAGATTTATTATAACTGCAAGATCCTGCTACGATATAGAACCAAAGATAAGAGAGGTCTTTAGAAACATCAGAATAAATTCAGAAGAATATGAAGAATAAGTGTTGTAGTGTCTGATTTGAACAAAAAACAACAACACGAATTCGATTACTTCCCTAACCAAAAGCTAGGAAGTCATATTTGTCGTTTGTTTAAAGTCCTGCCATTTGTAAACCATTTTATAATAACTTCTGATTTTCAACAGTGGACATTTGTACATATAGTTTGCAAATTCGAGATCTGTGGAAAATATTCCTATCTACAAATATCTACAAAGAAGTTTTTTTTATATCCTCTTTTACAGAAAACGATATAAAACAGTATCCAAATTGGTGGACCTAATATAAATTATTTATTATAGTTGAAAATCATGAATATAATCAATAGGACTAAATCTTTTAGTTTCTCTGTTAGTCCCCCAGTGACACAGTAGTAAGTCTGACGACTTACAACGCTAAAAACCGGGCTTCGATACCAGTGATGGGCACAGCACAGATAGCTCAATGTGTAGCCTTGCGCTTAACTACAAACAAAACAAACACACTCTGTAGCTAATGAATCATATAAATAATTATATTTAAGAGGTTCAGATTTAAGAACTTATCTAAAGCTTGCTTTCAAATATACAGTTGGAACGTAAGACTTAAACTAAGATTAAAAGTGAAATGATTTAGAAAATTTTGAGATTAATATTTATGAATTAAACTGTTATACATTTACGTATTTGTTTATTTTTTCAAGTAAAAACCTTTTCATTACAAAAATTTTAAAGCATAAAAAAGTTTAATGATAATTTTTTAAACATAAGCCGAGAGTTATATTTCTCTCTTGAGTTATTTAGTAATGAAAATTATTTCAATACTAAATACGTATCGCAAAACAAAAGTGTTGATATTTTATTGATACAAAATCTATGCTGAGAATTTATTTTTTCTTGGGGGAAAAAAGTTGGATATTCTTATACCTTATGCTACTCTTTAATAATCTGATACCGGAACATGTTGTAATATCTTTAAAATGTAGATACCAGACTGCAAAAATGTTAAGACATAGCTTGGCCTGAAACACCAGTTTTGGCGATGATATCATTGTATGGCAGTATTTTTGTACGAGAAAAACCCAAAACTTTATACTCTGTTTCAAAACAATTCATAGAAGATTATGTATCTTATCTAAAAACACATTACACCGATGTGCAATTACAATGCTCGAAAACTTCTTTAAAAAAACTTGGCCACTCACATGGGTTGTTATTATATAGTTAGGTATTGTAATTCTTGTCCATAATAACAGTTTTGTGTTTCAGCTATTTTAGATCTCAGGCTATCTTTATTATGTGTATTATATTCTGTGTTATATAGGCATATTTTCTATGGGTGTAACTTTCCTTTCAGATTACATGTTATCTTTATTTTGCGTAAGTTATCCTAACTTTTATATTCCCCTTCTATGAAGATAACCTTTCCTTGAGATTGCACAGCAGGTTTTCTGTGACTTATACTCCCCTTCCATGCACATAGCCTTTCCTTGAGATCGCATAGCCTGTTCTCTATGAATTATACTCCTCTTCTATGAACATAGCCTTTCCTTGAGATCGCATAGCCTGTTCTCTATGAATTATACTCCTCTTTTATAAACATAAGCTTTCCTTGAGATCGCTTAGCAGGTTCTCTGTGAATTATACTCTTCCTCTATGTATATAACCTTTCCTTGAGATCGCATATCCTGTTCTCTGTGAATTATATTCCTCTTCTATGTACATAGTTTTCTGGGAAAACAGAGGTTACTTTTGCCCTGTATAAGTTATTCTGTTTGTTCTACTTTTGCCTTTCATAAGTGTAGTTTTCTTTCCAAATCACTTGCTATCTTTACTTATTTTCTGCGTGTGATTATGTTTCCTCTAATTTTTCTTTCTATGAGCGTAGCTTACCCTATACATTATAGTTTTGTGTTGTTTATTCTGTGAAGTTCATCACATCACTTCTGGTTATTTTTTCTAATAGCAGGTCACAAACTTTCAATGTTACTTGTGGATTTGCATTTCGTGTAGCTTTGCGCGAAATTCCAACTATACCAGACCAAATCTTCACTGGGACAAAGAGACATCTGGTGGTTGAGCCATTTTCTACGAACGTAGAAGATTTATACTCGTTGGGTTTACATACATGCAGATTATAGTATTTCTAATCTCAAACCAAAGTAATTAATCTTAAATATACCTTAAAAATAAAGTTTTACATGTTATTGTGCCAATAGTGAGTCTGGCAGTTCACTACATTTAAAAATATTGCTTCTACCTTAAAACGTTCTTTAATAAAAGTTAAGTTTTATCTTTTTAATTTCTATCACTATTCACAGGGTTATGGACGTCCGCAAAACATAAGTAAAAATAAGATAAACTAATGATATTGAAAAAAAGACCCAAAATTCGAGCGCTCTGAATAATTTACCATTCTTCATTTATTCTCCTGAAGAGGAATAATCAATTACTTGAAAGTGCTTGACTTTTGGGTCTATTTTTTCAAATCAATGCACTTTTTTTATGTGTGATCCTGTGTGCTAACTCTTTGATAAGAATAAGATAAATAATCATTATTTCACAAGTAAGTGGTAATTTTTCGACCAAATACTTTCTTTATCAGCTATACATCCTTGTATCTAAATCAAGAATTCTGCAACACAAATGTGGCATTTAAAGTGTGCTTTGTGTTTTTCATTAAGGATAATAGTATACTGCACTGATATATTGAAACTTATCTCTCCAAGTCAAAATCTTCATTATATTCAGGTGTACTACTTGCTTTGGGCTATAGTAGTTGGTTCTCATTGCATTCTTCTGTACTTATCCTTTCAGATCACAAGTTTTCCCTTTTCCGAACTTATTGGCTAGTTTGGGCCATCCTGTTTGGTGCCAGCGTTAACCTGGACTGTCCACGTGGCTACACGGCTCGTTTCATGTCCAACATCTGGGCCATGTTCGCTGTGGTCTTCCTTGCCATCTACACCGCTAACCTTGCGGCCTTCATGATCACAAGAGAAGAGTTTTACGACCTGAGTGGGATCGAAGACAAACGGGTAAGCGAGGGATAATTTGGGCAAGATTACGAAACTGTTTTATACAAACTGATAAAACAAAATCAGGAAAAACAACACTGGTTTTCTTTCGAGGTGTCGAAACTCCCAAAATACACCCATTACCCTCATAAGCGACGGAATTACAGCACACGACACCAACCTCCAATCTTTTGATTAATATATATTCAAGGCACTAATAAAATTAGGACTATTTGCTCACAACCTCATGAGACAAAAGTAAATAAGCCATGAAGATGTGATTATACGCAAATAAGTTAAAGTAAATGTGTTTTTATCGTACATTCTTGTGTTTCATCATATACTTTACATATTTTAATGTGAAAGACTTGTGTGTTAAAAAGTATGAAAAAATACTGAAACCATGGTCTGAGAAGTGTAATCTAGTTTTTTAGAATAGAGAAAAAGCAGTTAATATTACACGAAAAGAACAGAGAATAATATTTGCACGTGAAACAAGTCTATTAGTATGATAACTAAAGTGGCAAATGAAAATGTTTACTCTTTATTGACTTCCACGACTAATATGATTGATTTACCACTATGTTTTATGTTGCATATATATTTTATTTAGTGCTATTACACAAAACAATACACCATTAATGAAATTTTATCTTATATTTATTCATAATTTATCTGCATAATTATCCATCTGGTAAAGTCCTGAAGAAAAAGAATGTGAATAGTGGTCACATAATGTGGCTGAACGTTGTGTACAGAATAATGGACACACAACGTGACTGACAGTTGCCTACAGAATAACGGAAACACAATGTGAGCGACAGTTGTCTACAGAATAACGGAAACACAATGTGAGTGACAGTTGTCTACAGAGTAATGAGCACGCAATGGAACTTAAAGTTATCTAGAAAGTAATGGATAGGCAATGTGGCTTAAATGATCTAGAGAATAACGGGCACGTAATATTGCTTAAAATTGTCTACAGAGTAATTGGCACACAATGTGGCTTAAAGTTGTCAACAGAATAATGGGCACATAATGGGGCATAAAATTATCTACAGAGTAATAGGCACACAATGTGGCTTAAAGTTATCTAAAGAGTAATGAACACGCTATGTACTTGATAGCTATCTACAGAGTAATGAACGTACAATCTGGCATACAGAGTAATGAACACGCTCGATAGTTGAAAAACAAATATGTGGTGAAATATATAGTGGGTTGAATACGTTATATGAAAATAATTTTCAATATGCAAATCAGCAAGGCACATGACAACCACAGAAGATATAAAATTGCCGAGAGACAGAATATATCAAGACTACCTTTTGACGTTGTACGGCTTTATTTAGGTAAAGTGATGTCACCGAAACATTATCATGTTTGGGAAGATAATGTAGCAGCTCTTTTCGACTCCAAATACTCATACCCTTTGATCATAAAGATATGTTCAGACAGGAGATTTAGACTTTTTAAGATGGAATATGGATCAATTGGTACACCAGGTCCATCCAAAAGGAGACCTGCAATAATTTGTACCGCAACTGTTGTATGCATCATGCAGCGCCTTGTAACAGTTGAGAATCCACGAACACAACTGTAAGAGATAAAAGCCATCCACGTGCCCCAGGCAATAGTTTATAACATAACCAAGAAGGAAATGCGACACAAGTTTCCATCTTGACATATCAGCTCAACCATCGCATATTTCAAGAACTGGAGAATGAAACAGGTATTCATGTTATTTCATACAAAGACTATCAAAACGCAGGATGCAGCGTATATGGATTTACTTACGATCGGACTGTTGAAACGAACGCTGAGAAATCGTCCTTCTACTATACTAAATAGATTACGAAAAGCAGCACGTACGCAGGGTGACTTTGGATATGACACTCTTACGACTGAGCCTTTTACAATGGAAACTTCGCTGCATAATTATTATCAAGATGCACGGTCGTCAGGCAGAGCATGAAAGGTTGTGGGTTTGTTTGGATGTATTTTGAATATTTGCACAAAGGGCTAGGGCTTTCTGCTCTAGCCGTCCCTAATTTAGCAGTGAAAGACTAGAAGGAAGGAAGTTAGTCATTACTACCCACCGGCACCTCTTGGGCACTTTTTACAAACGAATAATGGGATTTACCATCACATTATAACGCTCCCAAGGCTAAAAGGGCGATCATGTTTGGTAGGACAGGGATTCGAACCCGCGACCATCTAGCCATGCCAAGCCAGCATGAAATGACTTAACTGCATGTAGTTTAACGACGTAGTGAGACTCCAAAACCCTTTAACTATAGCCTACTCGACCTCTATATACCAGATTTTGAGCTATATATGTGTATACATATTGATAAAACGTACACCATACTATCTAGACTGCACACTGACAAACTTTCTGCCACAGAGCTCCATAACTGTAGGGGGGGAGAGCCTGTGCTAGAATCTCCTCTAGTATGTAACCATAACCATTTATTGGGGGGAAATTTACTTGTCATAAGTATTCTTGCTTTTGAAGATATTTTACGAATCTTAAATATATTGTTTTTTTAGGGTTTTTTTATATAATAAAAATTTATACTTGCACTATTTCTATATATTTTATACAAAATATTTTTCCTGTCGTGTGTTTGAAAATATACATTTTTCTCGGAATGCACAATACTGTTGTAAACATAGAAATATATCTCAAATAAAAGTGTTTGTTTTATAGGAAGAAACGCTTAAGTGTTATTAATTACACTGAAGAACTTCACGCGAAGAAACCAACATAACTAAGTACAGATTAATATGTTTAAAATCAAACTAAAATCACCTGCACAAAACTGAAAACAATCAACATGTTTCGACTGATCTTGTCAGTCATCATCATGACGATCAGAAACATGGGTCATTCGTCATCAGAGCATCTGATGATGACTGACTGAGTCAGAGAAAATATGTTATCTGTTTTGTTTGTGTAATTGTAGTTTGATTTTAATATATATTTATTTGTGCTTAATAACGTTTATTGTTGTTGTTTTCCCTTAACCACAACTGCTGGAAAACATAACTCTTTAGTTAACTACATGTTATAAGTATACAAAAAGTATACCTGTGTTGATAAATGTATTTCCTTTGCAAGCTTTGCTTTGTCTTTAGAAGAAATATTTATGTTAATATACATGTTGAGCTTAAATTAAACTTTTCTTAAAAACTAAATTTTTCTTGAATGTTTTGTACATATTGAAAGGCGTAACTCTTGTTGGTGGTGTATTAAAAGTTATATTTTTTGTGAGAAATGTTCTTACGCTTGTTTTTTTGTCTTGTATTGAAAATTTCATTTTTGTCGAATATATTCTTACTTTGTTCTTTCTTGTTGCGATTGCTGTTTTTCTAATGAACAGTTTATATTTGTTGAAAATGTATTGTGTTGAAAGGTATTCTCATCGAGAATATTTGGCGTTATATGTTAAGTCCCTATTCGACTAACGAGTTGTGTAGAACAATGTGAATAGATTAAACCTAGATATTCCAAACTAATGAGATGTTATTACTTGACAATGCCAGAATTATACTAGAAATGGAATATTCTCATCAAATTTTATCTCGAAAATATTTCAAATTTTTGGAACTACAACAAGGATTGTCCAAAAAAATCTCTATAAGTTAGTGGAAATGAAGTTAATGTAAAGTGTTATAAGTACTGTTTTTATTCTTCAGTTTACCAACTGAACGTTTATGTCATAGAATACGATTTACAAGATGGCATTAAGCTATATATAGCCAATGGTGTAGTATATAGTATTGCAGTAACTTTTTTGTTTGATTAATTGAAAAAGTGTAATGTTTGTTCATTGACTTTAAGCACTGGTGTTATTGAGGTATTCTACCTTTTTTGTAATGATGCAAGTCTTACCCTATAAAACAAAGGGTGCATAAGTTAGCGATTCTTCATTAAATTAGTTATTAAAATATGCTCTGTTCCATATGTTCCATATCTTGGCAGAGGTGGTAACATGAATTGATAAGTATGATGTGCAATTAAAAACTAAAATTTATCTCATCAATAAAAGACCATTTAACTAATAACATTACTTTAGCATCTTATTGCAACATCTCTATTTACAATCCTGTTGTGACTTAAAAAACAGATGAAGATTTTATTTAAGCTCCGTCACTGGCACAGGGAAAGATAAAAAAATAATTATGGTTAATAATCACTAGGTAGCGAAAAAACCATTTGTAACTGATATAAGAAAATAAAAAAATTTGAATGCTGAAAATGGTTGACTAGTTGTACTGATATTACAGGTCAGGACAAAAATAAAATAAATAATGTGTCATAATTAAACATCATGGATCGTTAGAGTGTGGAAGTGCAAAGTCAGCGAGATTTAAAAGGTGTGTCAGTATAAAAATGAAAAGAGCAATGACAACAAACCGAGTTTCAGATTAGAGAGACGCAATTAGTTTGAAAAAATGTGTGATGTGGATAAAAGCTCTATTCTAATTAACAAACAAAGATGTGTATATAAAATTTTTCAACATATGAAAACGAAAAAATGGAAGCAAAGTTGCGCCAAAAGACAGACAAATTTTACCAAAAATATAGTCACGGAACTAACGACAGAAATGTGTCAACAATTGTGTTTTGAACGTTCGTAAGTGTCAACAATGGTTCACCAAATTCCGTTCAGGTGCCTTTAGCCTTAAAAACTGTGATAGCAGGGGCCGACATGTTGGAATTGCTATTGATGCTCTGAAGACGCTTGTTGAGTCTAACCCAAGACAACACACTCGTGAAATAGCCCTGAAATTGCACGTCTCTCATAAAACAATACGTAAACATCTAAGGAATATGAGAAAACTCCATAAAGAAGGTGTTTGGGTGCCTCACGAGCTCACCGATGATCATCGTTTCTAACGTGTGAACGTTGGTTGCTTCGTCTCTTCTGGCACGTAATGCGCGTGAACCATTTTTAGACAGAATTGTCACCGGTGATGAAAAATGGATTCTCTATGCGAATATTAAACGCCAA